ATCAGCCCCGACGCCACCCGCCGATAGTCCGAGCTTCGCCTATCAACTCAGATCTGCTTCACCGTTTCAGTCCCGACGTATCGCATTCGCAGCACCGTCGTCGCCTCGTCCACAGACCCCACAGTCTCGTAGGCAAGATCCCGCCTCTTCTTGTTATTTCAATAATTATTAATTATATGTGTAGATTAGATGTAATATAATTACCTACGTGGATTGTTTGATGAAGAATATTAAAATATATTATAGTAATATGATAAATCGGTACAATAAGAACCTTCTTCAAGAAGTTGGGGAATCAAGTGCTCCATTCTAATTCAATGTCCTGGCACAGTTGGCCAACACACCAGCTAGAATTACCCTGTATGAGCTACTGAGAATTAATTTAGAAAAAGATTATTTTATGAATTATGTAGACGTTGTTTATGATTTATAATTCTTAATTTTTTTCGTTATTTGATATGCCATGATATTATTGCACATGATTAGTTGCATTGATTGTTTATTGTTGTGATTGAGAATTGTTAGGAGTTCATGACTATAGTGACCTGTATGACACAGTTAGGATCTAGGACCTCGTGTGTAGTTGACCTGGAATTACGAGAATTGGGGTGAGAAGTCTTGGTCCATGTGAGCGGTTGTGATTGTTGATGTATATTCCACGCTCGCACCGGTGAAGTTTGTGTAGTCACCGGGGTGGGTCTGAGGAGTTGAGATATTTGTGATTGTGGTTGTATTCCAGGATCGCGCTGGTGAAGTTTGTGTAGTCACCTGGGTGGGTCTGAGGAGATGAGATATTGTGATTGTTGATGCATATTGCAGGCTCGCGCCGGTGAAGTTTGTGTAGTCACCGGGGTAGGTCTGAGGAGCTGAGATATTATGATTATGGTTGCTTTCCAGGCTCGTGCCAGTGCCTTGTGTCGGCCTGGGGTGGGTCTGAGGTGCGGTGATATCGAGATTATTGATTATTTTCTAGGATCGTGCCAGTGCCTTGTGTCGGCCTAGGGTAGGTCTGAGGAGCAGTGATATTGCGATTGTTGATTATTTGAGATGAGTGATGAGATAGTTAGTTACATGACCTCGATTCTTGACTAAGTATGATTCTTGTGAGATGTAGGCCGGTTATACTTCTTTTCACACATAGATCGGGATTAATATTTAATTATCTATAATTTGAGACATATGGTATATACTTGAGGGTTTCCTTGTTTGGATTATTTCGCTCGACGTACTACGTCTCTTGTTATAGATTTTTAAGTATTAATTCCATCTAGTGTATGCCCTTGTGACTTGGATGATTAGTCAAATCGCTAGCTGCATGACCTCGTTACCTGATCGATTTTAGATGCTTTATGTTATCATGATTTAGTAGTGTTTTCATGTTGATTTGTGGATTTCAATTGTACGTTCTTTTGTTGTTTCTGTTATTGTATCGATTTTCGCATTGGATTTCTGTTCATTCTATTTTCTTTGTGGGGTCGGGTCTTGCCGTGTGCCATACACGCTGACATACACCTGTTTTCTCTGGTATACGTCAGACTTAAGAGAAGAACAGGCTCAGCAGGAGCCAGAGGATTCTCAGCAGGAGTGCCTTGTAGACGGAGCAGAAGAAGGAGTCGAAGCCTATTGGAGCCAGAGGATTCTCAGCAGGAGTGCCTTGTAGACGGAGCAGAAGAAGGAGTCGAAGCCTATTCTTTGATGGTTCTAGTTTACTTTTGTAATTCTTTCTTTTTCCATTGATCGATTTATTTTTGTATCTCTCCAATATTCATTTGTTCACTTTTGTATAAGGGTATGTTTGACCCGTATTTTATGTCGTGGATGATATTCTATTTGTGATATGTATCTTTTCCATTTTGAGTTGTTCATTATATTCTTGCTATGTGTGATCGGGGACCTGTGACTTCGCATTGTATTTATTTCCAGACGCTTAGCGTATTGGATTGAGAAGAAAAGAAAAAGAAAAAATGGTAGTGTATATTTCTTCTTAATCTAATACGCCGTGGGCTTGTTCACGTTCTCATTCCCGGGTATTTTGGGAAGCGGGGTGTGATAGGTTTTTTTGGTGGTCCATGCAGGTCACGGTCCCGAGTCCTCACTGGTAAGAATATAATAGACAATTTCGATGCATATCATAATTTCATCCGTGAGACTATCTTGAGCCCTTATTCTCTTTTCTTGATAGATTTCGTTTCATCCCTATCTTATTACTCTTTGACTCTAGAACTTTCCACTATTTCTTGTCTCGTAACTTCCTACTGTTTCTTGTTCTTGTCTCCTCTGTTTATGGATATCATTCCATATCTCTGTCCTTGGATTCTTTCTGCATTACTTTTATTTTAATTCCGAGGACGGAATTTATTTTAAGGGGGGTAGAATGTAAGGATCATGAATTTTAATACTAGTTAAAATAATTTTTTGATATTTTAAAATATTTAATTATTATTTTTAAAAGAGTATTTGTATTTTTTTTGATTTTTTACAATTTTCTATGATTTAAAAATCTGATTATATATTTATTTAAATGATTTTAATATTTATAAATTTCTATGATTTAAAAATCTGATTATATATTTATTTAAATGATTTTAATATTTATAAATTTATTTTGTGTGGTAAAATTTTCTAGAATTAATTTGTTATGTTATCAGTACTATTACATATTATTTTAAATAATATGTTGTATTATTAATATTATTACGTATTATTTCTAATAATACTTTGTATTATTAATTACGTATTTTTGGTATAATTTGTTGTATTATTTCTACTGTTACATATTATCTGTCGTATTAGTATAACTGGTACGTTTTACTGTGTATATAATTATCCCATAATTATTTGATTTTAAATGTAAGTAAATATATTTTATTTATTAATTATTTCTGTTTAATTGTACAATATGGGTATTTTTTTACTATTTTATATCAATTATTGTAATAGCACAATATGTATGTTTTTAATTGTAGATGATTATTATGTAATTAGATTAATTTTTAAATATCTGTAATTATTTATTTTAATTATTATTATTTTGAAAACTATAATTTTCCTTTATATATATATA